CACTTCACCCCCTGCCCCGTTCGTCGCTACACTCAACGGTCCGCTACCCTCCTGCCCCTCCCGGTCACCTCACTACACCCTCCCTCCTCGAAGGCTCCTGGGGGAGAGGGCGAGAGGGGATTACAAGTAGACTTTTCTACAGTAAAATACCTACTACCTAGGCCCCTGGGGGGGGGGGGGCAAAAACCCCTCGCCTTCCTCCCCTGGATCTGCCAATGACTCCAGCTGATTTCTTTCCTCTCCTTGCTCTTTCTTCCCCGAAACAGTGAGAATGCGAAAGCTATCTGGATAAGCTTCAATCATTTTACACAAGACTGACTTGAGCACCAATGTCGAGCAGTCACCCGTTAAAAGTAGCTGGAGTTGCAAGGATGCAGCCAGACAGTGCAGTGCTAGAAACTTTCGACCCATCCCGACCTCAGTACTGGTAGTCGACTTAATCCGGAGAAGAACTTCTAGCAACATCAAATGTTTACAAAGATGAAGCACAAAACAAACACTTGTTAAAAAATGTCTGTTGGGTAGTCTGAAATTTCTGTCTTTGATGTATCCTGGAGCTGCTGGCCCTCTTCAGTAAAAATAAACTGCTAGTTAAAACAACTGCATATTTCCGTCATGCAGACCTCACTTTTCCCGTGCCGCACGCTCTGGGAGAGAAGCTGGAGGACTGAGGGAAGAAATTAGAAAAAATTCTGAAATGTACTGAAACGAACGAGGAGGCTTCGAGAGGGATTCCATGAGAACCGGAGAATTATCACATGCGTGGAGAGAAAAGGATGAGTATGTTCAAAGCCTCGTGGAGTGCATTTTCGCGTGACTGCAAGTCATTTTCAAAAATTATATAAATTTAAGGGACCGGTTAGTTAAGCAAGTGGAGAAAAACAATTTTCTCTGCGTAACAGGCGTGTCGCTGCGGCGGACGACTGAATTCGGCGTGGACTGCTGAACTAGGCGCGCCATCTCTACGAATTGTCAAAATCCAGAAATTTCTTTTCCCAGACAGAAGGCGTTTAATCCACTAGTTCGCTGGTACCTGAATTCACCAAGTAAGGCATTCACGACGACAGCACTGTTTTCCAGGCTTCACTGATCCAGTTCTCTCTTGGCTATCCAACACTTTGTTTTCTGCCTTTTCTTGTGAAACGAAAAGTGCCTGTCCGCTAATGTAGCTCGGAATGCTG